AAGCCTCTTTCTCCTGTTCGTCGAACCACTGCTGAACCTGTACATGTTATGAGCAATGTGAGTCATCCTGGGTAAGCAAACGCAATATTTGTAGGCTGCCCACATCCAAGCCTATAAGGTTTGGTTACCGAACCTTAGGCATGAAAGTTTACCCGAACCTACCCACTGATTGACCACCTAAAGCCCCAAATTAAGAATTGTTTGGGAGCTCACACTCAACTTAGGTACTTCGTCGTTCATACAGTACTTAAATGAGTTTTTATTTTATTTTTAATGGCTTCGTAGTTCATATAACTTCAAACATACTTGTTGAAAAGTAAAATTTAATTCTCAGTCATCAAGTCTTTAACGCATAATAATCATACAACGATCTGTATAACAGAAAAATATATATTGAATATAACAAGTAATTATTTTTTCATTGTGAATATTATGTATTTTTTCCAATAATTTTAAAACACGTATTTCCATTAGTTTCTGCAACCTCTCCCAAACAAGCCCTAACACTTCCTCAAATGAATCATTGTACATTACGTCATTACGTTGCGATTGCTATACAATAGCTGTTACTGTGTATAATAGACGGTGGGCAGTCGGGAAGTTATAAGCACAAAGGAGCCTGATTCGAAAAAAAGCTCGAATCGAATCGACTCGACTCCACTCGAAACTCGTTTGAATGGACCAAAACTCGAGCCAAGCCTTGAAAATAAGTTTGGTCTGAGCTCGGACCACCTCGTAAGCCTCACAAACCGAAATACGAGCCGAGTAGTGAAGCTTGTTTTATTTGCAGGCAAATAACTAGTAAATTACTAGCAATTAATAATGGATAAATCTACTTGTACATTAAAAGATGTACATCAAGGTCTACACCTCCCTCACATGGGGGTAGGACCCACTTGTGTAAAATATTTTTTTATTCAAGCGGGCCCTACCCCCATGTGAGGTGGGTGTACACCCCGATGTACACGATAATGTACCCCTAGCAAAGCCGATTAATAATCATGCTATGCGCAAAGGCCATGTGCCCTGTCGGGGGACATTTGTCTCCTTGGCAGGCAAAAGCAGGCTAGTTTCATGTGTGGTTGATGAGAGTCCCATCATGGGATTCCTATCAACCAAACGTCTCTTAACCTTAGTTTGATCATTATTATTTTAAAATTCTTTAATTTTTATATTCATTTTCAATCATATATTTACACCATAAAATATTTTATTCATATTGATTAAAATCAATTTTTTTTAGTAGATTTTGATATAATTTAATGAAATGTATGGTAGAAAAATTGTGTAACCCATAAATTATGTAATTAAAATTAATTATTGTCTTTTGACTTACAATACCAAATAGGGGGGCTTTGCAAGTAAATTTGAAATTTTTCCTTACTTTTTAATCACATATTCTTCAAAAAATCACTATTCAAAATTCTATTTTCTCAAAAATAATGACCATGAAACATGGGTCTATCAACATTCTTTTTCCAAAACGTCTCTAATAGACGTTATTTCAAAACTTCTCTTAGAGCGTATTCAACTGTAACAATTTTTTTTGTATAAATATTCGATTCAAAAATAATTTTTTTGCTACCAATCTCATCTCCACTCTTCAATTTAAAATTTACTTTGCATTCTTTGTTGTTAATTTTTTTGCTATTAGTTTCTTTCCCAATAATCTCCAACTTATTTACTATAATTTTTCAATTTAAGTATTCAAATTTTGATAGTTATAAATGAGTTTCATTAATGATGAGGTTAATACATTTTTGGGTATTAGAGCACCCCATCTAATCATGATGTATATCAAAATGCTCCTATTAACTTGGATGATACCCATGAAGAAGAGGAAGATGTGACGGAAACAAAAAGATTTAAAAAAGAATCCTCGAATGCTTGATAATATATGACACGAAAAAAGTTGCCATTAAAAATGGAGTGAATATTTTGAAAGCATCTTATAATTATTGTAATAAAGAGCTTAGCTGAAAACCAAGTTCAAGAACATCTCATTTCAATAGGCATGGGAAATAGTCAAGGACGTCTAATTTTAAATCACTTGAATAATTAATTTTTTTTAGTTTATAAATTAACAACCAATTAGTTTGTAAAATTCAACAACTTGCATAATTAACTTTCTAATATATTCGAGTGTAAAAGAAAATAAAAAGCCAATGGATCGGCTCAGCTCGCCAAAAGGCTCGAGCCAAAGCTTGGGGCCAAGCCCCATGTATGGGAACGAGACAAGCCCAGGCTCGGCTTGAGCCTAAAAAGCTCGAACCTTTTTTTTTATGAGTCAATATGGGGCTTGAGCTTTGGCTCGCGAGCCAACTCGATTCGGCTCGTTGTCATCACTATTCTCGTAAGGGACACGTAAATCCACATGAATCATATGATAGTTAATAGGGATGGCAACGGGAAGGGTATGAGACGGGTCGATCATTCACAATCCCATCCATTCGGGTATTTTTGTCATCTTACTACATCCTCATATCTTGTTAAAGCGGAACGGGGTGAGATCGGGGCAGAGCGGTGCCCCATTTTGTTTTTTCTTTTTATTTTATTTTATTTTTATATCTTTAGTTAGTAAATATTATTACCTTTTTTTTTATTTGTTAAAAACAACTTATGTTCTCTTTAAAAATGATAATAAATCTATTATTTTTGTTTTGATAAAAAATTTAAATTTGAAATTAACTTTAAATAGGACGGGCGGCGGCTTGGGGATTATGTTTTCCGTATCTGCCACATACTCGTCCTCATCCCATCCCTATCTCGTTTACCTGATTAGGAGGGTAATCCTTGTCCCATTCGGGGTGGGGCCCATGGATATGGGTTACACGAGTTTTTTTTGCCATTCCTAATAATTATAATATTAAACATCAGATTAACTAATAGTTTTCCTCAAGTTCTCTATTATACTAAGCACTTGTTAGATAAACTTTGTTAAATTTTTATCAACTGAACTCATTGAATTGTGGATTATATTTAGACCATGTCATAAATTTGTTGGAGCAACTCGAAATTTTTTAATATTTGTTTAAAATTTTCGATGAATAACTTGTAAAGATGTTTTGTTATTTGAAATTAGGATTGTGGTCGATATGTTATCGATTTTTAAGTAACAAATATATGTCGTTAATTACTTATCCTATCACATTAAATCATTTTCCCTAAAATCTTGCAAATAGGTCTTTTTTCTCACATTATTTTCCCACTCGAGGATAACAAGCCAGATCGGTCAAAAACGTCCAATTCCTGTCGAAACATTGTTTGTGACCTCAGACAATGGTGATTACCATAAATTTTGTGGTTGTCGACCCAAATTTTTTGAGAAATAAGCTAGTTGTACATCTATTGTGTACATCTTATTTGACATCCTCTACACATCAAAATTTGGCCATCATTTGTAAAAAAAAAAAAGTGTTGCTAAAATCAACGATCATGCTAAAATGACATAATTCTTGATATAATACCACATGATACTTCATCATTGTCCTGTTCTTACACAATAAACTTTTTCATCCAATTACATCCTGCCAACACTCATTATGTCACTCTATCTATCAACTATTTTTCAATAAAGTGGCATAAACCTAAAATCAATGTACAAAAATCTGTCAACTCACATGGATGTCAAACTTTATATCAACCTTTATGTACACGTAGCGTTTCTCTCTTATTATTATTATTATTTTTTTATTTTTTTTTTATTTTTTTTTATTTTATATAATGGATATAATCGTTCAGAAACTTGTCTAACACTATTGATTGCTCATTGAAGTTTAAGATGTCAATTTTGGTCACTAAACTTATCCAAACGTTGAACGTTACTTACTGACATAACATCTGTTGCAAACCTTTAACGAAATTTGTGACGTAGCTAACAAAATGCATATGTGACACCTTGTCACACCGTTAATAGATTGCCACATCTTTGATTACTCACTAAACTTCGAAAATTGTCTTCAATTGCTCACTGAATTTTGAGGTGGTCGAATTCTAGCAACTAAAAATTTAAAGATCTTTTATTGTTCACTAGACTTTGGAAATGCCTTCGATTACTCACTAAACTTTGAAAAATGTCTTCAATTGCTCACTAAATTTTAAGGTAGCTGAATTTTGGCCAATAAACTGCTAAAAATGAGGTTGGCATGACCGTTAGAAAGAAATCCCACCAACTAAAAAAAAAAAAAAGAATTGTATATAAAAACTTCATCATAATTGCATTAAGCCCATGTTTGATGTCCATTATTGCATCAAAATAAGTTTTGTAATAGGGAATTTGTAAAGAAGGTGTGGTTAAAACGTTGAAAAAAGTTTTGAATTTAAATATAAAATATTTTATTGCGAAAATATATGATTGAAAATAAATTTAACAAAAGAAAATATAAATTTTGAAATAACGAGAACCAAGTGGGAGCTAAAGTCTTTTTTTTTTTTAAACTGCCAAAAGGACACTCTTTTTCCTTAAAACTTTCATCCGCATAATTTCTTGTGCATGTCTTCTATTGCTAATTAGTTTACAAAGGACTTCTAACAAAATTTGTTCCTAACTTTAATAGAATTGTAAATCGATCCCCAACCAAGTATTTGTTTCAAACACAATCTTTGCTACTGAATAACAAACAAAATTGTTATGGAAATAGTGATGGCCAGTGGGTTGTGTCATCTTCGACTCGAAGTACTGTTATAGCTAGGTTTCGATGAGAAGTCAATTTCGTTCGCGTTTTCTGGTTCTCTTAAGTGCTTCGAGGTTCGCACTGAGACATCGGATATCTGCGAAGGAAACCAAGAACCATTTGTTGCAGAAACCTCCAACACTTCTATTATAGTATCAATATCAAATTGCATAGTCGGTTAAGGAAGAGACGTAGAATTGAAATAGAATACACTGTCGATTCAGATTCAAAGTTATTTGTATAAATACACCAAACCCTAATGAAAAAGTCCAATTTGTTTGAATTTATATTAGGGTTTTCTCTTCTTTTCTTCTCAGGCCTGCTGCAATGGCTATCAAGCAAACCTATTATGCTCCGACAGACCTCAAATATTATTATTCACAAGTTAATGATGATGAATACTTTAAAAATATTTTCCTGGTTATGTTTTTCATCCCACTGATACTCAACTTATTGTTGACTACTTAATCCCAAAAATCAAGAACGAGACACTGCCTCGAAGTCTCATTAAAGTGGTTAATAACGTATACGACTTAAACCCGGAAAATCTTGAAGGTAGAATATTCATATCTTCACTTTATATGTTAATTTGTTTCTTTCTTGATATGTCTTCTGAAAAATGTATACTGTATAAATTTTATTGCGTTTTTAGATGACTACGGGGTGAATCGAGCAGAAGAGTGGTTATTCTATACACCAAGAGATAGAGAAAACGAAATTGAGAACATTCGGAATGGAGCTGCTGTTGATGGATATTGGCAAGTAATAGGGGATGATGAAACTATCGTAGATAATGATGAAACTCTTGGATTTCGAAAGACTTTAGAATTCTACAAAGGAAACCCACCTAGAGGTGACAAGACTTCTTGGATTATGCATGAAATTAGAGCGAATGAAGATCAACAAAGTGTTGCAGATGATACTAAGGTAACTTATTAGACGTATTCTTTGCAAGTTTTCGTAGTATGTTGATGAGACATATAAATTATACAAACGATGGAATTTTTTTTTTTTTTTTTCTCCTTGTAGTTGGACGATTGGATTGTGTGTAGAATATACCACGAGGAGAACAGATGGAAGGATGAGACATGTCGGAGTGAAGCAGAAGATGATCAATGGTTTGATGATTTGGGTGATATAATGTAAGCAAATGGAGGAGACAGCGAGTATATATTCCTTGTAGTTGGACGATTGGATTGTGTGTAGAATATACCACGAGGAGAACAGATGGAAGGATGAGACATGGCAGAGTGATGCAGATGATGATCAATGGTTTGATGATTTGGGGGATTTAATGTAAGCAAATGGAGGAGACAACGAGTATATACTAAATGACTGGTCGAGTTAGATTTTCATTCAACTAGAGAAGTACGATCTTTGTTGAAAACGTTAGAAGATAGGTGCGTATGAGGAGGAGTTTTCTCCCTCTCTATTTTTTTTTTTTTTGGTTTACTTTGTCAATACTCAATTTTTAGAGAATGTTGTACAATATTTTCTGCTTGTTTTACAATTTCAAAGATTCATTTATACCAGTGGCTCGACCACAACTTTTCATAAGTGAATAATGACGAGACTTGAATTCACGGCCTTCATTTTGACCTTGATTTTTTCTAAGTATTTCTTGTTCAAGAATGTTTTCGATAGTTATGGACTGATCATCAGATGTCTGATCTTGAACCTCTGGAAGATGAATCTTCTCAATTGCTTCTCGGACGAGCTTTATCTCTGGAATTTCCCAATCATTCTTTTCTGCAACTATATCTGAATTAGAAAAACCTGATGCGAGTTGAGGATGTATCAGATGCCACATGCTGATATGTCTCTCTTTCTTTATTGAACTGAGGCCTGCATTCTTCAGAATCAGGGAATATGATGTGTAATTTTCAACTTTCATGACTTCTCGAGCTTCAGATTCTCCGATAATGGTAAATCCAGTAGCAAACTCTTGTTCTAACTCGAAGTTAGACAATCTGAAGCTGATGAAATCGTACTCAAAAAGTTTGCTCTTCTGCTAGATAATTTCTGATTTAGTTGAGACTCTCACGGAAACTTTTCTCAGGGTACGAGGTTTCACCAAAATGCAATTTCAACAAGCACTGATTCTTGAATGCTACCATATTCATCTCCAAATATCCAAGTTTTTGGTTTAAAATTGATCTCCTCACAAGATTCCATGACCATTTGGCTATCCTTGAGACATTAGTTTCTCAAGAACCGAAATTGACAGGCAGATTATATTTGATGATGCACTGATCCAGAAAAGGTAATCTGAGCCACTGAAATTTTGGGGATGTAATGGGGCTACTAAAGAATCTAAGTCCAATTAGGGGTCAGGCATGTTTGGCAAAAGTGTTACTATCGTATAAGTTGTAGGAATCCACAAAGTGTATTGACTAAAATTCAAATATTTGTGATTCCTGCAACTTATAAACCAAATATCAATGCTATTCATAATTGCTCACTATCGGTAGTCGCCCTACATAACAGTTTGTTATTTGATGAGTTGAGAATTTATATAAAAATTATATGAACCAATGAACATGTTGATGTTTGAAATCATTGTTTTGTTAAATATCGGCACGCATCAAAATTACACCTTTAATAATTAACCAACAATAATTGGCCTTCAAACATGCAAACCCTAGAAGTCAACTAGATTTCAAGAAATCCTAGTGACATGAACACAACAACGAGGCATATTGGGTAATGGTGGGACAATTTCATACTCCTTTGCACAACAAACAGGATTCCCCACTAGGAATTGAAAGCTACATTTGGTGTAAAATCTAGAGAGGGAATTCATACTGGGTGTAATAATACCCAAATCAATTTATTCAGTAATGAGCATTCCAGTATTAATAGAGAAAACAACTGTAACTAACTTAAGCTATGAACAGAAACTAAAACAAACTTAACAGACTAATTGAACTAATTAGCTAAGTAACTAATTATTAACTAAAACAAGTGACGTGGACATTCTCTATATCCTCCCCTCAAGTGGGATCGCGATGTAGAAGGAGCAGGCCCAACTTGGAGATAATTCTGTTGAACTGAGGACCAGGAAGAGACTTAGTGAAAACATCCGCCAGCTGATGATTCGTGGAGATATGCTTCGGGATGATGAAGCCCTCTTTACACTTGTTACGAACGATATGACAATCAATGTCCAAGTGTTTAGTGCGCTCGTGGAACACAGGGTTAGCACTAATGTGAAGAGCCGCTTGATTGTCACACCAAAGGGAAATAGGAAGAAGTAACGGGATATGAAAGTCAGACAAAACGTAAGAGATCCACAGCAGCTCACAGACAGTAGCTGCCATGCTTCGATATTCCGCTTCTGCTGAACTTCTGGAGACAGTAGTTTGTTTCTTTGTCTTCCATGAGATAAGACTTCCTCCTAAGAAAATGCAGTACCCTGTGAGAGACTTCCTCGTATCCAAGCAGGAAGCCCAGTCAGCATCGCAGAAAGCTTCAACGTTGAACCCATTGGATGTAGGATAGAATAGGCCAATGGAAGAAGTGCCCTTGATGTATTTAACGACATGAACTGCAGCATTCCAGTAAGCCAATGTCGGTAAATGGACAAACTGTGACAATTGTTGGACACTGAAGGTGATGTCTGGCCTAGTTAAAGTGAGATACAAAAGTCTACCAATGAGCCTTCTATATTTATCAGGGTTGTCAAGTAATTTGTCATTCCCTCCGGTGAATTTCAGGCCTTTTGGTAGTGGTGTGACTGTGATCTTTGCTCCTGACAGGCCAGCATCAGCAATTAAGTCCAGGGCATATTTTCTTTGACAAACATAAGTTCCAGCCTCGGTTCTTTCTATTTCTATGCCAAGAAAATACTTAGTATTTCCCAGATCCTTAATAGTGAAAGCTGAGTGCAGAGATGCCTTGAGGTTCTAAATTTCTGCTTCATTATTTCCTGTCACAAGCGGATCATCAACATACACAAGTACTGCAACAAACAAGGTATCCTTGGTTAGAATATACAGACAATGATCATGTGAAGACTGATGAAAACCATAGCTTTCAAGATGCTTGCTAAGTTCTGTGTTCCACTGTCTGCTGGCTTGTTTAAGCCCATAAAGGGACTTTTTAAGCCTACAAATTTGCCCCTTCTTCGCCTTAGAGTATCCTTCCGGGGGCCACATATATACTTCCTCCTCTAGGTACCCATGTAAAAACGCATTATTAATGTCAAGCTGGAAAATGGGCCATAATTTTGTAGTAGCAACTGCCAGAAAAATCCTGATGGTTACATGTTTTGCCACAGGGGAAAAACTCTCAAAGTAATCCGCCCCTTCAACTTGATGGTATCCCTTGGCTACTAATCTAGCCTTGCATCTATCCAATGTTCCATCTGCCTTTAACTTTACCTTAAACACCCATTTAGAGCCAATCGGTTCCTGTCAGGGGTTAGTGGAACAATATCCCAAGTATTATTTTTTTCAAGTGCATCAAATTCAGTATTCATTGCCTCAATCCATTCAGCTCTAGTACTGGCTTCCCTATAAGAGTTAGGCTCCTGAACATTGTTGTCATTAGCAAGAAAACCATCGTAATGTGACCTAAAGCTCTGTGAGATATGAGAGGGAAAAGTACTTGGGTTGGATTGGGACGAATGTGGTGTGGCTACAGGTGGAATGGCTGGCTGAAAATTGTCACAGTGACTGAAATTAGTCACAAAGTCCTGAAGCTATTGTGGGGAAATTTTTTGTCTAGTACTTCTTCTCGGGGTAGTAGATGTGGGATTTTGATTAAGTGATGAAATTTGAGTATCAATATCATCCCTTGTCACAAGAGTAAGACTATGGTTATGCCTGGCAACTGATTGTTCATCAATAGGTTGTTCAATATAAGGCTGCTGGAAGTTATTTTTATGCAATGCATCTTCATCAGATTCATGCTCAGCCACAGGTATGGGTAAAGGTGTAACAAGTTCATATTTACAGTGACTATTATATGGAAATATGTTTTCATGAAAGATCACATCCCTAGACACAAGAATTTGTCGGTTAGTAATATCAAAAACCTTGTATCCCTTTTGTCCTGAACTAAAACCTAGGAGAATGCATTTAAAACTTCTAGGAGAAAACTTATGTTTTGAAGGAAAGTTGTTTGTGGCATAGCATAGACAACCAAAAGTTCTTATATGATGATATGTGGGAGTTCTACCATGTAACAGTTCAAAAAGTGTTTTCCAATTTAACAATTTGGAGGGCAGCCTATTTATAATATATGTTGCCATTAAAATAGACCCTCCCCAGAAATAAGTTGGTAAACTTGATTCAAACATGAGACTCCTAGCCACTTGAAGCAAGTGTTTGTGCTTTCTTTCGACAACCCCATTTTGTTGTGGGGTGTACACACATGATTTTTGATGTAGAATACCATTGGTGGGTAAAAAATTTTGAAAGTCATGACTCAGGAATTCTGATCCATTGTCAGTTCTAATGCTTTTAATGTTGTTTCCAAACTGATTGGTGATCATGCTGCGAAAGAATTTCATTATGTGCAAGACCCGTGTCTTATGTTTTAGCAAAAAAGTCCAAGTGGCTCTTGTGTAGTCATCAACTAGAGTCAAAAAAATAGTGTGCTCCACATATGGAGGTCCTTTTGTAGGGTCCCCATAAATCTATATGTAGAAGTTCAAAAGACATACCAAATTGAATATGACTTTTTTGAAAGGGCAATCTATGTTGCTTAGATAAAGCACAAACATCACAAGGATTAAAAACACCTTTATTACATTGAGCATCTAATACAGAGTGCTGTAAGACACTTTCAGAAACATGGCCAAGTCTTTTGTGCCATAAAACAGCAACATCATGCTGATTGTTACAAGTTTTAGAGGGTAAAGAGGCTGAGGAAGCGAGCATAGATGTATTACATTGTATAGGGGTGTATCTTTGTATGTTTCTTTGAAGAAATGAGTCCTTATCTAGAATGTATAGGTTCTTGATGGTTCTACCAACTGCCAGGGTCTCCTCAGTCAGACGGTCCTACAACAAGCAATGATCATCAAGAAAGGTAAATTTAAGGTTTGAAGTCTTGGCTAGTTTGCTCACAGATAGCAAGTTAAATTTGAAGGTGGGTACATGTAAAGCCTTTGTGAGGATAAGATCTTTGCTGAGGATTACATCACCAGAATGTTCAACTCTGTTAATGGTTCCATCAGGTAGGTACACAGGTATAGTGGTAGTGATGATTTTTGGTTTATGTATGAGCTTCAGGTCATTACACATATGATTAGATGCTCATGTATCAACTATCCAAGAGCCTATTCCTATAAAGTCACAAGTATGTAAAGCATGAACATCATCAGGTGTAAGAACAGAACCTGCGAAATCTTCCAAATGTGCAAAGTTCACCCTGTTGTTGCCTTTCCCTTTGAAGATTTTGATCAGTTCCTGTTGAATTACTTCTCCCAGATTCATCCCCTGTATCTCTTGTTGTACCACCTCATTCAAATTCATTCCCTGTAACTCCCCCTTCAACCTATCTCCCATTTCTTCACTCATCAGATCAAGAGGAGTCTCAGCTAAATTCGCAACATGTCTTCCTTTTTTTTTTCTCTAAGGTCTTTAAACCAGTCAGGATAACCAATGATCTTGAAGCATGATTCCTTATTGTGTCCATTAATTTTGCAATGCGTGCAGTACTGCAACTTTTTGTCTCTTTTGTTCTCATATTTTCTTCCTTGTCCTTTTGCTCCACTATCTCTCTTGTATGACTGTGCCTTAGCATACATTGCATTGATTTCAGCTCCTTCACCGTACACAACTTGCACCTTCCTTTGCTTCTCAACTCTCTGAACCATTGAATATGCTTTATTCACCACAGGTAATGGTTCAGTGACTAAGATCTGGCTTCTCACATGTTCATACTCCTCATTCAATCCCATTAAGAACTGCATCAACCTGTTGAATGAAGTCATTTCTGTTGCTGCCTTTGCTGATCCGCAAGTGCATTACGGCAATGGCATGAGGTAAGTCAGTTCATCCAAAGCCGTTTAAGTTTTGTGTAATACTGTGTTACACTCAAACTTCCCTGTGTCATAGTAGATATTTCTCTTTGGATCTAATATAATTGAGGTCCATTGCACCCTCCGAACCTCTCTTCAATTTCAGTCCACAGCTCTCTTGCAGTGGTGGTATATAAAAATGCATCTACAATCTCCTTCGAGATTGAGTTCAAAATCCATGAGGTCACCATGTAATTAACACGATTCCACCTCTCGTAGTTAGTTGAATCCTTACTTGGCTCTTCAATTGAACCATCAATTATCCCCAATTTCATTTTCGCCCCTAGGGCTATACGAACAGATCTATTCCATGCCAGATAATTCCTTCCTGTTAGTGGCGCTGTGACCAAAGCCATTCCCGGATGATCCGAGTTGTGCAGCGCGAGTGGATCATCTCTATCGCTCTCTGCCATTTCGATTTCGTTCCAATTTCAATTCCTTCGTAGATCAAGGAAGACAACTGCCAAGCCCTGGGTCGTCACCGCTTTGATACCATGTAAAATCTAGAGAGGGAATTCATACTGGGTGTAATAATACCCAAATCAATTTATTCAGTAATGAGCATTCCAGTATTAATAGAGAAAACGACTGTAACTAACTTGAGCTAAGAACAGAAACTAAAACAAACTTAACAGACTAATTGAACTAATTAGCTAAGTAACTAATTATTAACTAAAACAAGTGACGTGGACATTAAGTGACGTGGACATTCTCTATATTTGGTTGTAAGGGATAATAAAAAAAGAAAAAGAACAAAAGGAAATTAAATTAAAGGAATGGATATAAATTAATTAGTCAAACATCAAATGTGTTTTCATGCATGCACATCTTTGTTAGTGGTCCATTCCACAATTGCACATAGCTCAACGTTTTATGGGTCGAGAAACATTCAAGATACAAGAAATGTATATTCGCGATGGTTTCTTGACCAACGTTCTCGATATAATAGTATAGTCCCTTATAATGATGAAAGTTGGCAAGTCGATTCTATTAGTATAGTCCCTTATAAATTAGTCGATTGATTGTTGCACATTGAGTATGGAGAATATAGCCCCTGCCCCGTTACATGCGCCCGTTTAAAGTCCATTTCAAATTTTAATTTTCTATCACACAAAAAAGAAATAATTACCATCATTTCTAAATGGAACTTGAATTGTTCTACAACTTTTTTTAAAAAAAGGAGTAATATTTTTCACCAACTAAAAACATGAGAAAAAATAAAATAAATAGAACGATAAACAAGATAGAAGACAAAAATATCCGACGGACGGAAAACGAGAATGACTACCCAGACTCCGAGCCGTCATGTTGTCATTCCTAATCGAGAGACATTCAAGATATAAGATATGTATATTCGTGAATGTTTCTTGACGAATGTATTCGATATAATAGTATAGTCTGTTATAATGATAAAACCTTGAAAGTTGATTCTCATAGTGGTCCATGCATGAAAAGAAGATTCAACTGTTATAACAATTCAAGTTTCTTTAATTGTAGTGACGAACAAAAGTTTGAATATCAAAAGAATATTTCTTTATGAAGGAATACTACTATATATTAGAAAAATTTTCAAACTATTAGAACACCAGTTTAGATATAAATATGGAGTAATGCTATGTAGTCCTACTGGTATTACAATCCATAATAAATGAGTTATAAATTTTTGTGTTTAATTGAATTTATGGAGTGTGGTTGTAAATAGTATTATTCTTTACAAAATACACCCTCAACTTTATAATTTAATGACAATGTCCTAAATAGTATTACTCTTTACAAAATATCTACACTTTCCTCTCCATTAAATTCTCCAAGAAAACTTCGTGGAAGCTCACTCATGGCTCCTGGACTCTTCGTCCATATAAGTCTCATTTCTCCCTCACCATTTCACTCTCAAACCCTTAACTCATTTCCACAATGAAATTCATCAAATACGTTCCCAAAAAGCTCTTCAGGAGGAAGAAATCTCGACCAGTTCCTGGATCAGAATCTGACCCAGCTTCTTTCAGTTCGTCGGATGATTCTCAAACCGGGTTCAGTAAGCCCACAAATGGGTCAACCACACCAACCAGCGTTCTACCTGCCGAAGAATTGTCGGAATTTGAGTTAAAACAAGCGTTTGAATTGATAGACAGAGATGGTGACGGGAAGATAAAGAAGGAGGAGCTAGAGGCGTTATTGATCCATGTCGGAGCCGAACCGCCGAGTCAGGAGGAGCTGAGGCTGATGTTGAGCGAAGTAGATGTAGATGGCGATGGGTGTATTAGTTTAGGAGATTTTTACGCGATCGGCTCGGCTTTTGGGCCTCCGGCGTGTGATGCAGAGATGAAGGAAACGTTCAACTTCTTCGACTCGGATCATGACGGAAAGATAACTGCGGATGAGCTCTTTAACGTTTTCAGAACGATTGGTGACAGACGGTGCACATTAGAGGACTGCCGGCGCATGATAAAAGGTGTTGATAAAAACCGTCCGCTTCGAGGACTTCACTCGTATGATGGATCAGCAACGATAGTTTTTTTATTTTAATTGGATCCATTTTTTTCTTCTAAATTCTAAGTATTATGCTCCTCTGCCAGCCTGGCAGAGCCAACCTCTCACACGGGATCCGTCTCATTAAAAAATTATCCCAAAAATATCCACCCACCCATGTTTGTGTGTGTTCGGTAGGGGTTCCTACCTTGTACACTAAGGCAGGTCCAAATTCTAATTTGGGGTGAAGTCAATCAACGGCTAAAATTGATCCATCTTGTTTAAATTGTTCGAATATGCCGTATATGAACCAGAAAAAAAAAATACTCAATTAAAACTTAAATTAAGAGTTTTATCCTTATTCATAATTATAATAATCAATTTAGCTCTCGTAACAAATCCTACCATTTTGAGTAACTCGTTAATCTTTTTACCTTGCAGAGGATAATTACATATTTAACATTTCGTCGGACTAATAATTGATTTTTCAGTATATTCTCATAGACTCGAACATTTACATCTATTAAGTTACTTTTTCAATCAATCTTTGATCGAAATTGATGAAAAAAAAAAAATCAAGCGCACTACTTGATTCTTGATTGAAAACGAATTAATTAGGCCCATGCTAATATGTCACATGATTCAATATCCATTAAAACCTCTACTTGTTTTCTTCACGCTCTAATAAGAAAGTTGGTATTTAAAATATTTCTTTAAAAGGGATGTCGCTATCATGAGATTATCTTTCTATTGGAATGATTTTTTTAAGGTTTTATTTATATTTATTTTTCTGGGTCGGTTGGAAATATTAGAAAAGTAGTAAAAAAAAAGGGCGGTTTGGCATGAAGTTGGAGCCCCTCTTTGACAACCATTATAATAAGTTTTTTCAGGAAAAAAATGAATTTTAAAATAATGATTTTTTGAAAAATATGTAATTAAAATATAGGAAAATTTTTTGAATTTACGTGCAGAATATTTTATTGTGTGAATGTGTGATTGAAAATGAATTTAACAAAAAAATTGTTTTAATGATTGCCAAGCAAGGCTAGCTATGTCAATTTACATGAACATGTCCACCACTAGACAACAAATTTTTCTTCAAAAATTTGGAGTTTGGTAATAGTTTTTGTTTAATAATCAGACATCACCGACCAAGAGTCTACTACAATGCCATGTTTTACGGGAAAGTGCTCTTTATTCAAAGCATCGCCATGGCTTCATGTTCAAAACCAAAATGTCCAAAAACCGCAGTTGCCAACTCCCCCCTGACCTCGCAACCACCACCACCACCCTCCTGCATCAATTTACAACTCAGATCCCATTCACAACTACAAATTACAGAGCAACAAAAAACACCATCTCAGCCACTTGTAGGAAAGAGAGGAGTGCAAAAATATTGGTTTAGTCTGTCAGACAACCGCCTGACCATCCTAGCCGAGTAAACTCAGCCAAGAACGATCCTCTACTGCCCGATGATCCCTAATAGGAGCCATAGAGCTGTTAATCACGCTCTGGTCAGGCGGGCATTTATCATCCACCAGACTTGGTTTCCTGTCTCCTTAGAACTCAAGGATACAGAGGTACGAGCCTATAGAACAGATCCTGTTCAAGTAAGGTCGTGACCAATTGAGTCCCAATTCTGCTATTTATACAGGTTATTTCCTGTCTTAACTTTCGATGTGGGAGGGATAGGTTACTATTTTTTTATATGAGGGATTGCTTTCATCAACTTATTTTGAGTATTTCTGTTCGTATATCTTCTTCTGCGCTATTCAATGGCTTGCTCCATTATCGCTACTGTTATCTGTTTGCTGCCTTTACCTTTCAACCTCATCTACCCCTAAAAATCATCTTCATCTAGTGATTATACGGTTTTAAAAAAAATTAGTTAGAATTCTGCTTTACCACTTTCTTCTTTCCCTAGGAAGTCTTTGTTCTATGCAGACACCGAAGGTTAGTTTCAAGAAGCCCATCGGAAGTGTGAGTGTTTCTGGCCATATGTTTGTGGGATGTCCAATGCCGTGTGGTGTGCAGATAACAAAAGGGTACAAGGGATTCCAAAAGGAAGTCCAAAAGTGCCTTATCGATGTTCACAATTTGAAAGGTTGTCTTAGGGAATCAGGAATTGGTGCCATGCTAAATCAACTGAGCAGTACAGTTGTTTGCGAGACCACGTGATGAGGAGTTTGTTCACCGTTGGTAGATCGCTTGTGACGGTAAATATGGCACATACAATTGTGATGTCGAATGTCACCGTTGAGAAGCTGGATTACTCTTTGAACAAATCAGTTAAAGGACGATCAATCTGGTATAAAGACGACAAAGTTCGGCATCCTTGTCTTGTAGAAGATATCACGATAGAAAACTGCTCTTGTGCACTTCATAAGTAATTTATATGTTAGCTTGAGGATCTTTGAGTCCCTCTGTTGGTATGTAGCAGAACTCTTCTAAGTTTTATGAAAATCAAAATGATGATTTAAATCTTGGCAGTGCATAGAATATTCCTCTAGTTTTGGGCGTACATTCAAAGATCTTGTGCTGTTAGTTGGCATTTAGAAAATTTGGCAATGTCAGCATGAGATGCCAAAATAATTATCATCTAATGAGATATGCAAGTTGATTTTTCATTATGAAGAAGTTGATATCATGCTTTCAAATTCCCTTCTTCAGGAGCTGTTTAACACCCTCAGCGTTATCAATGAGTGAATCCATCAGACAAATGTACAACGTAATGCGCAATTCAGAAGGGTTATGTGTACTAATTTCATAAGCCGTCAAGTTTAATAGCAAAGTCTTTTCTGAATCATCAACGATGATTGGAGGAAGTGTAAGAGTACCAAAAATAAGGCGAGATAAGTTTTTATCTCCAATATCGAATTGTCTTCTCCTTGTTCTGTTTCTGTATTATCAGAACTATTACTTTCTGTATTTGTTAATTAGGTGCAAGTGCAAGTTATTTTAAAATTTTGATGGATTAGTTTTATTTTTTGTAATCATCATTCATTTAGTATTTTGCAATATCATAGGGGTCAAATTAGGTTAGATGGTTCAACTGGAAAAATCGGGGACCTGTTCAAAACAATGGAACGTAATACAATTATTGCACTATCATATAATTAGGAACACACAACAAAACCCAAACAATGGAAACAAACAGTAAAAGAACAAACTTTTGCAGCTGAAGAGCTTGTACGAGATCATCGATCTAGGAAGTCGTCTTCTGAGGTTAGCGCGGAAAAATAGCAAAATATGTCTGTACCACAGTAAGGAAAAGGGCGACAATTGCACCTAGAAATGCCAAGATAGTCCAAGGACTGCTAAAATGGTCGTGCAGCATTCAGCCATCCAGACTAGTCCTTTATTCTGGTAATGATCTTCAATCTGCTGCTTAGTATCTGCATATGCATAAAGATCAGGTACCAAATCAATAGCTATCTCGTTAAAGAGTTGTGCCAATAGTTCATCACTACCTAAATTGTTGACAAGAATTCTTTTCTTCCTGAGCTCTTTAACATCATTGGCATTATCAATGAGTGAATCTATTAGCCAAATGTAAGATGTAATGCGATAATCAGAAGGACCATGGGGACTCATTTCGTAAGCCACCAAGTTTAATAACAAAGATTTTGTTGAATCGTCAACAGTGATTGGAGGAAGTGTAAGAGTACCAAAAATAAGGTGATGTTTGAACTTGACATCAGTAATATGCTAAGTTTGACTTGGTCTGAAATGAATTCCTGCTGATTCGAGCTCAGTTACTGAACGATATGAATGCCATTGGACTGATTTCTTCATGTTTATTTTTTCAGGAGGTGGCCCGATGAGCTGTTCCCGCGCTAGATGTAGAAGGTGAGGAGGTCTTGAATTCAAATCTAATTTCCATTTCATTTTTTGATCACTAAGTCCCATCATTTGTTGCACAAATTTCTTGACAGCATTCGTGCACGTATTTTCCTGAGGTGGCATTATGGTGGCCTTCTGATCAAGGAAATTCTGAATCAACTCTGTCTCCTGGCTTTCACTTTCGAACCTGAATTTCATCAAAACATTTAGTACTAGTAAAGGAATTTGATTCTCTAGCAAGAACAAGTCCCCCTGCACAAAAGCAACGTAGCAACTTCCATCGTGTAGTGGATCTACTTCTTTTTGTTCCTTATCTGTCCCATTGGAAACATTCATTTCCTTCTTGTAAGATGAACATAAAGTGAAGCACAAAGCAAGCATCAAGAAACATCATTCTGTTGAACACTTCATCGTCATAGCATTTAGTTGAGCCTTCCTCATAGCATTCACGGGCACTTTTACCCACCTTTGCCACCTCTTCATATAAATCTTTGATGGATACTTTATTAGCACAGGCACGACAGAATTTCTGCGCGATTGAAATTTTTAGCTTCTCGAATGCTTCGAGCTTCTGCGTTCCATGATGATAAGGGCCTATCAAAACTACGAGTGGATCATAACTATTTGTGTTGGAGTTTATCTCACGCAGCATTCATGGAACTTTTTGTATTTTCGGTTTCTTTGTTGTGTTCTCATCATATTTCTCTATAGAAATCAACCACTCATCCTAGGTAATGTAGTTGCTTGATTCTTGTGATTTTATACAAATTTGAGTGATTTCGGCATTTTGGTTATCTCCTTTGGGTGCTGGTGTTGTCATCCCTTGGACGTGAGTATGAATTTGCGTTAGCACATATTATTAACAGTTTGTTTGATAAAATTTTATAAACTAGTCAAAATTTAATTTTAAACACAGATTTCATAAGATCCACGGTGTTTATCAAATTTTCAACAATACATTTCATCAACTTTTATTAAAATCTGTTTAATTTTTTTTATCAAAATCTTTGTCAAACAACTCCTAGATTGGCACTTTAGGTCAACCGTCACGTGCTTTGACAGAAAATTTGAATAAATATTTAGTGCTACTATAATGAGGACCGTCCTAGCAACTTTGCAAGAATTCTAGGTTATGCACCTAAGAGTGGTTATTTCGACAACTAGGGTACACTTGTATAAGAAAGGGGTTAAATCCATCAATGGTCATCCAATTTTATACTTAGTATCACCTTAGCCACCCAATTTGAATTTGTTTCACCATGACCACCCAACTTTATACTTAATGTCACCATGGCCACCCAATTTGATTTTATTTCACCATGACCATCCATTTTATATAACGTTTCATCATGATCACCCAATTTCATATAACATTTCACATTGCCACCCAACTTCTTTTCACCATTTTCATTAATTTTAAAAGGAGTAAATATAAAAAAAAATATTTTAAAAAAATTAAAATAAAAACTTATTTTTAAAAAAAAAATGTTACTTGAAAAAATAAAATAAAATAAAGATTATGCCTTTCAGAAAGAATTTCATCTTTCCACCCATATCAGTTATAATTTTGTCAATTCTTTAAAAATAATAAAAAATTCTTCTTTATCTTCTCTTCTCCATTTTAAGTGTGTAAATGAATAGTAAAACTGTATGCGCTTAATTAAGATACATTGAGAAATCGAACAAGATTACATGCATCGACCAAAAAAATTATTATTCTCAGAAGCATTTTCAATCTCATATTTTATGAAATTTTAATTTACTTATAAAAAAATTTTCACTTGAAAAAAGCCAAACAAGCTCTTAATTTGATCACAAGCAAACAAAACATAAACAACAAATAGTATGATATGTATGAGCTTAAGATACATTAATTTTCGTAACTTCATAAATAGATTTAATGAAAAAAATTACAACTTATGAAAAACCATCGAACAAGCACATTGAGTTTGAATGAGAAAAACAGTTGTGTAACACATTGTTTGAAAGAACCATAGACTTGATTTCTAGACGAGCTTAGTACAATATTAAGGTGCATACATTATTCCAAGTTATGTCACAATTATATACTTGTTCCGAAAGATCTTTCAAAATTAGTCATTTTAATTTCACTATTTAACAATTTGATAATAAATCTTGTGTTCATTATAATGGACATCATATTCTGTACTCTTTTACATTTTTAAGGTAGACAACAAATTATTAAACAAAAAAAAGTTGAAATCTTGATTATTATCATTTGCAGTCAAGTCTAATAGTACATAATACAAATTATTTACATAAGTATTTTTATGGTTTCCTTTGTTCATCTCTTTAGTGGAGACTATGAGTAAAAAACAAAAAGACGGAGCAATATAAGTAAAATATAAGAGTAGGGGCGGAGGCAAACATTTTCTATTGTGGGGTCGAAAATTAAGAACGCTCCAGCAGAACTCAGGTGCACCAAGGGCGGTAGGCTTCTTCCATGTATGAAGTTCTGGATGTACATCATGTGTATATCTAACAATTATGGTTTGTAAATTTCAAAGTTTGTGTAGTGTTTAAAGAAAGGTACCATATCTGTAGGTGCAAGCAAGGTACTGCAAGTTAACTAATTCAAGATTACACTAGATGCTTCATGAACTCGATGCTTAATGTGGGATTCGATTGTATTTGCTGCTTCATATGCCGGCATCTAGGATTCAATCCTCTCAACAGTACTCTATTGTTTCGCTGTATTTTTGTGAAGAATGGTCAAGAAATCTAGTAAGAAACTAGCCTTTTCGAGGAGGGATTCAATTTGTTGTATCTCATCAAGAATCACATATTGAGAATCACAATTCAGAGAGTGTTGTAGATTGCGAGTAAGAGAAAGAAGAGCAGCATAAGCCATTTTTTAAAATTGCAAGAAAATGGTCTAAGTTGTGTTTCCCACTGCACAATTAACTTCCCATAAAAGGGTGAAAATAACCACAAAAATCTAATCTTTTTCCTTGACATATCAATTATTCATTCATAAAATTGTTTAGTAAAGTGGAGTTAATAATATTTTATATTATTAAAAAGGAAAAAAAAAATCATATTATCTATGTATTGTATACTTTATTCAATATTGTACACCAAAGATGTCATTAGTGACAGCATTCAACAAAATAGGGAATAAAATGATTGGATCTTCCTTCAACTTGTCAAGAAAAACAATTTAATAACAAACTTGAGAAATAATGAGTAACCAATTAAATTAAGGCACAACTATGTCACTTGCCTTAGGGAGATTCGGAATTAAGCTGACTCGACTTATACAGGCCCATATAAATAATGTCTTTCCATATATAAGTATGATTTTTTGTACCAATTTTGCGATGTCGTCAAGAAAGAAAAATAAGTTGAAGTTTTGAAAGGTTTCCATGTTTTGCAATACCAACGTGACTATCTCTTTTGTTCGCCTCTGTATGTGGTACTGATAAGTTTAAACATTAAGACCTAACATTATTGTAACAATATGTCATATTTTCACGTATAAATCCTAGAATTGCATATGTATCACCAAAGTAACTATTTTGAACAAATCTATGCACAACGATTTATAGGGTTGTAGCATTATATGTGCCCACTTGGTATAATCTTTGAATTATCACAAGTTAAGAATATTAGCATGCTAAACACGGGGAATACTCAATCGAACTATTTTCTTTTGGAAACTATATGCTAAACACAAGGAATACTCAAAGAAATTGTGGATTTAACATTTTAAGCATGATACTTGTTGTTAACGTGTTTAGCAACTTATCAATCTTTATTTCTCTCTTCATATTTGATAAGTGTATTTTATACACTTATTATGGGCCTAAAATAACGATATTTGATAGTTCTTTTAACAAAATATATTCTAAATTGTTGTATTTTATGTTTAATGAGTGAAATTCTAAGAATGAAAAAGGACGAAAAATGGCAAAATCCAAAGTTTTATTGACTGTTACGAAAACTTTTCACAAAGTTCCTTGAATGTTGGGAAAAGTTTCATTTTTTGCAACATTTATTGAACATCGTTAAAATTTGGTTCTATAACAACGTCCAGTACATGTTGTTGAAACTTTTACTATATAGTCTTTCACAACATTCATTGACCGTGCGAAAATTCTTATTTTTTTCAACGTTTCACGAATGTTGCGAAAATGTTCATTTATTTTCCTTTTCTTTATTTCATTCTCCCACATTTTCTTGTCGAGTTAATTTAATGAATGCTCACCCATCTTTAATCTATATTACTACTTGCTCACTGAACAATAAAATATTACCCGTTGCTCACCCATCTATCTAATATATTACCCGTCCATCACCTGTCTTAAATCCGTCAAATGTAACTAACGGAATGTCTCATCTATCTAATATATTACCCGTTCATCAGTCGTCTGAATTCCGTCAAATGCAACTAACGGAATGTCCTACATGGCGGATGAAAATCCTACGTGAAAATAATTGAATTGAGATTGAAGCCTAGTGGGCCAAAAGTGGAAAAAGCCCATGACATTTCATTGCTTTGCTGGGCACGTTTTTTCCCTAAATTGAAACCTCTCTCTCTACATACAAGAGCCCTCATTTTCTCTTCATCTTCATGAGTGTTTTTCCAAATATGAAATTCAAAGATTGAAAATCCAAGTTGAATAATCACAGTCAACCTATTCTTGAGCAAAACCAAAATCTTTGAAACAAGAAAACCCACCAGCCTTGGGTATGGAATGCAATGTCACTGTGGAAGAAACAATTCGTGATAGATGAGGATGGGCAACCACGTGGTAAATTTATTTTACTTTTCAATGGACCCTAAATATTCTCTTATGGGACCACAATTTCGTAGTAGTATCTTTGTTTATTTGCATCATTTTATGTTTTTTTATTTCTCTGGAAGCACGTTGAATCTACATTGTATTATGTGGGACAACAATTTCTATGTTTAGAACCATATTCATCCATGTTTATATTCTTATATTGTGTCTTTTTCATATTTTTCTTTGGAATCACATTTTTATCCTTTTTCGTTGAATCTGTATTTTATTATTTGGGACAATAATTTCTTTGTTTGGGACCATATTCATGTTCGTTTATATGATTATATTGTATTTGCATATGTGGAGGCGTTTGAAAAATTCTAACCTTGTGTTTTTAATGTAGACCTGACCTTCGACGAAGAGGAATTGATACCTCTCGAATGCCACTTGAATGACTCAGATGATGAGGTTAATGATGATGGTTTTCAATTTGACACAAGTGCACCTGAACGTGTTCTGGTGGGATTTAATGCAGATCCGATGCTTGAATTTAAGGTTGCGGGCGTAGAGGAGTTAGGAAATAATGATGGTTATTGTCCTAGTGAGAATGAATTCCATGCTGATAATTCTTCT